GAAATCCTACCCAAAAATGTATACCGTCCATACCAATTTTGAGTAATATCACCTCAAGTTGCCAAAAGTGATTAAGCTCCTAATTACCAATTGCTGCTCACTTCGAAACAAGCTCATCTTGTTGTCAGGGGGACTATGTCAGATGCTGAAAATCATGACAACTACTATAACAGACGGTTTCGGACTAGGTGAGTTCTACATAGTCGCCTTGACAACAAGACCAAGTTGCGACAGCAAGGTCAACCCACTTCTAAGCTTCAAATCAAGATCTACTGATAGATTTGGAATCCTACCCAAAAATGTATACCGTTCCTACCATTTTGAGAAAATTCCACTGGCAGTCTTTAATATCAACTCAAGATACCAAAACTGACTGAGCTCATAATTACCAATTGCTGCTTACTTCGAAGCAAGCTCATATTATAGAAAATATAAAGACCAAGAAGTTGTGACCTCTGGTATGGTCTTAGTCTCCTTTAGATTCATACAATTGGGTTGACCTCGGTATCGCAACTTGCTCCTGTTGCGTTCTGCATAGTCGCCTTGACAACAAGACCAAGTTTCGACAACGAGGTCAACCCACTTCTAAGCTCATATTATATTTATTCGCTCTAATAAAGTCATCCTATTGACGTTTGATTCACTGCTTCGGGACACTGACGCCACAATTATCATCGGACAAGCACTTATCCAACTTGAATTAAATTTGACTGCCATACCAACCCCGATTGCTTTCAATTGGCCGAACTTCAGGAGGGAAAAAAGTCCCCTCAACCGTAACACCAACATCCGAAATCTTCAAATCAACATGTGAAATACTGATTTGGCCAGTCGAATCGTTGACCTGCATGTCGATCTTCGAGGACCCGACCACTTCGTGGGCAAGTGTTTCCGAGGAGGCATAGCCACAGGAAAAACGACGCACGTAAAGCATTTTACCTTCGAGACCAAACCGCTATGAATGCATCCAATCGCAAGATTACTTGTCATTTTGCTTCGTCCAAGTGGACTTGGTAAATGGCCAGTTTATGTGAACGGCTTCAGTAAAGTACAGTTCGATGGGGCGAGTCAAGAGAAGACCTGTACAAAAGTGAAAACCCATACATATTGTACATCGATGCGGAAGGTTGACCTTCATGTGGTTGGCATGTTCCGGAGGCGAAGACTGATGAAAAAGAGACTGGTCAACTTGCACTCTCCGCGAATCCTCAG